GTCCCTATGTTGTTGAAGCCTTTTCCTTCTTTTTTAACTCCTCATTAGAAGACCAGAATGAAAAAGTAGGACTTTATTTAGGTTCTTCCTGTGACAATCACTTGCAAAGGCTTCCTCCCTCAAAACTGTTTTTTTCAAGATTAAATGACTGTTAAATTAAACATTTATATTAATGACATATGTTATTTCAGACTTGCAGAGTTTATATGCAAAAGTTATTAAAATAGAGCATATGTTTATTATTGTTTAGTTAAATTACAGTAAAAAATATTTTAAAGATATAAGGATACACCTTCTATTGACTTTATGCTTACATTTTATCTTCAGCTCAACTTCATTGATTTTTAGTTTTGCATGTGTGTAATTATTTGCAGTGCAGTAGCTACACTGTATCTATTAGGACATATTTTGTTTGGAATTTTATATGGAGTCTTTAAATGCTCAGTCAAGAAGTAAGAATAATAAATAATTAATTCATAAACAAAAATTGCAACATCTAAAATTGTTCACGTTTTGTTATACCACTTGGGATCATCAATCTTTCCTGAGGAACTATCCAGCATAATCAACACAGCCTCATCTTTCCCTTTCTACCTGCTCCCTTTTTGTTCCTTTCTTCCTTCCTTCATATTTCTTTTGCTGCTCCCTTCCTTCATAGTTCAGCTTTCAAGGTAAGCTCCTTAATAATTTCTTTGTTGTATTCTGGGAAAAAAACAGTGAAGTCTTTCTCTCTGTATAGAAATGATAAACAAGAAAAGACAAAAATGGATATTCTACAGCATAAACTAAATATAGCATTAGAGGTGGAAGCAACAAAAAAAAAAAAAAAACCAAACCCCAAAACCTCAACAAATCTTTTCTTTGCTATTGTTCATTACATTAATATTTGTTTTCTTATGATTTTTTCTTTCTTTATATGCCATCATTAATTATAAAGATAAGAAAATTATTGGGAGGAAACTAAATGATGGAGTGTTAGAAATGCAAAATGATTCAAAATATGAATGTAATGTTAAGGATGGCTGGGTAACAAATGGTACATTTGCCAGTATGCTTGAACTGACACAATTAATATTCCAGGTCATGCTTGGGTTTCCATGATAGAAGGTCTGAGGTAGAGAATTCCAGGGGAAAAATATATCCGTTGTATAACTCATTTCTCTCTTTTTTTTTTTTTTTTTTTTAAATTTTCCCTGACAAGTCAGAACCATAGTCTTAAAAAAAAAAAAAAAAAAAAAATCTGTGCTTTCACACCTCATTTGCCATATTCACCACTGGGCACCATTCACCAGAAGGGCCTGATGCAAGGAGGTCAGTAAGAAGCTATTAGCAGAGTCCTCTCCTGAGATTTCTTTGGTCTTATTGAGGTGGAAGTTAGCATGACAGTACTGCAAATAACTCAGTTGTCGGTTTTTTAACAGCACAGATTTCCCCATAGTGTTTGTCACTTTAGAAAATTGTTCCTGGAAATGAAGTCCCAGAAAACTGGCTTTGACAGAGGCCCTTCTTAGTTGTGAAGAACACGGGTACAGAAAAATGTGTCATTTTCCCTGCAGACAAGAGGTACTTTTTGTAACCTATCATAATATTTTGGAGGGTAACATATTTTCTTAAGGACTAAAGGTGGGGAAAATACTGGAATCAAAGTATGAGGTAATATCTCAAGACAGATACTCTTGAAAAGAAGTATTAACTACAATGGTTTTGTAGTTGAGAGAATATTGTAGTAAAGTAGAGAAAAGATGAAATAATGCTTTTAAAACATTGTACTGGTCTCAAGAAGATATGCAGATTTTTAAAGTACCAAAGTACCCTTCATGAACTATAGTTTTTTTACTGCCAAACATTTAAACAAAGAAATGTCAAGTAGAATATACATAGTATCTCAATATAGATTGCAAAATGCACTTTCAGAAAGCCATTATACTCGTGGAGCCTCAGCACATCACTTTAAAATTATTCCTACCTGAAATTCTCAAGAGGAAAAAATGTTTAAATTGTTCAAGATGTTGTGTTTTTCCAGTTTGGGGAAACAAAAACCAAAAACCAAACCTGTGCTATGTAAACTGAAATAATCTTTTTTTGTTGTTAAAATTTCCTACCCCATTTGCTCTTCAGCTTTAAAAATTTTTCTTTTCTAAAGAAAAGGCTTAAAAAGGGGTGTAAATGTTGGGCAGATGCAGCCCTGATCAGGATTTGATACTGATCAAAAAATCCACGCCCACCACCTTCAGAGAGTTATTATGCCACAGCAGTTTGTTCTAGATCATTCTGATTCTCAGTGGTGCACATGGAGAACTTTTTCTTCTGGAAAACTTCTACATTTTCAGTGATGCTGTAGTTTTCTATAAAATCTGTGTTTCCCAGACATACCATGAGAGAGCCATATCTCTCCCACTAGCTGGGGACCTCTGTAGACGCATGGCAAGGCTACAATGCACAGTCTCGACATTAGGCAGCTACCACAGCTGAACATAGATGGTGTAGGAATGCGCGGGAAGATAAAGAAACAAGACAATGAACAGTTCGGTGACATGTGTAAAAAAAGTAGTCACAGGCAATCACTTTTCTATTTTGCTGTCATCAACAGAGTGAAGGCAAAAATTCATTTATCAGAACATAGGCAGATCAGATGGCCATGGTTGGACTAAGGGGTGAAGAGCCATAATGACCATGGCATAGAGTTGGTTTGTGTATCTTCAGTATGGAATCTAATTTCTATGGAAGACCTTGGCTGTGGCATTTTATATTTGAGAGAACTTGTGTAACAAGCATATAGTGTAAATGTGTTCAATAGTTGTGGAACCATGCAATAAAGCCGAGACAACATGTGGAACTTGTGTTTACCTAGCTCCTTCCAGGCCACCGAGTGTTGAAAGCAAAAACGTGCTGGGCTGATAAGAAAATTGCAATAGGACAATGTATGAAATACTACAAAAAATAATGACAGCATTAGGAATGTGTAACTTTATGTAAGTAAGAGCAGACTTGTAGAACCAAGCTTTTAAGATGCAGCTGGATTTTACAGATCGTACAGGTGGACCTGCAATTTCACATTCACTGCAGTAATTCTTCTTGCCTGCTATTTGAAGCATGGATGTCTGCCATTTTAGTTTGGCATCCTGAAGAGCAGAAGGAACAACTAGCTTGTTGTTTGGCGTACATATATGTTTCTACCACTTGTTTCTATTCATATCTTCTTTCCCATTACACATTTAGACTGAGAGTGTAATAGAATAGTTTATGGGGTTTGCACTAAGAGAGGAACATATAACAGAGGGCCAAAATAAATTGTTGTTAGGGCCAGATCACTTACAGAATTGAAGAATATAGCCCATTAAATTTTGAATAGCCTGACAGTATTTTGAATAAGCTACCATCTCTGAATGTTTTTGTCCATTAAACAGTAAGTTTTATATGGGCCTTATTTAACTGTTTTGACACAAGAAATTGAAACTTCCCAGTAGGATATGTTAATGAAAAATGCATTAGAGCTAATTGGGGAATGTTCAGTCCTCTCAGCCCCAAGAGATTAATACTTTATGAGGAGGCTGATGCTCTACTTTGTTTTCTCATGGGTTCTTAGTTGTATTCCAATGTAGAAATCCAAGATTTTAAACATTTACCTTTTCCCTTATGTTTCCCCGCATCACAAAACTTCTTTCTTTTCCTACTATTGTTATTCAATACTTCTTAGCAATTAAAATTATGATAAAAGCAAAGGACAATCTATTTTAACCGAGAAAATCTACTTTAAAAGTCTTAAGAATACTGTGAGTATACTGTTGTAGAAAACATAATTATCTTTAAAGCAACTCAGTATCTTTAATTTAATTTTTGCCAGGTGTATTTTAAGCATACATCATCTGTTTTACAGGAGATTTAGTGGGTTTGTACAATATGGTATAGGAATTCTCATGTTTAACAGTTCATAATTAATTCAGTAAACTCACATATGTCTGTTTGAGAATTGTTTATATACAACTGATAATATCCCTGCATTTATAGGAATGATTTGGGAACAGTCTGTCACATAATTTTGACTTGCCAGACATTCACAGATTGTTAATGATGTAGATTACTAGTTCAGAATTTGAAATGTATGCTTTATATTAGTAATTGTTATATTAGATTACAGTAGTGATGCAATTAATGATGTAACCTGAAAAAAAAAATCAAATTCAGTGAAGAATGAATCTTTCAGATTAATTCACAATTCAGAAATTTTTATTCTAAATTTTTGGTTTTTACAAGTTGTACAATGTAGACTAAATACATTTTAATATTTAAAGGAATTCAATGTGAACATTTTATTGGAAAAAAGCAAATACTATTTTTTGGTATTCCACAAATTTTATTGTATTTCCCCTTGACTAATCACTCAGTTTTACTTTAAAAATGCAGAAGTTGCCACTGTCTTAATTCACATTGTGAGTCAGCTAGCACAGATTTTAAAGGGACAAGAGTTATATTCCCTTGCATATGTATTTATTTTACTCTTTGAGTATGTGTTTGGAAATAATGGCTAATATATTATTGTTCCTATTGTAAATAGGAATTTACATTTGAATTTAAATTAAACTATGGTTTCAAAACTCTAATAGTTTGCCTTTAAATCTGGATACAAATTTCTACACTTTTAATTATTTTTTAAGGGAAAAACTAGCATGTTTCCTTTACTGCTATGGAAGGTGGAAGATTGAATGAGACTGAAAGAAAACATGGGGTTTAGATAGAAGAAGCTCTTTCTTCCATAAAATGAAAGTTACCCCCATTTGAAAGGCTGAAACACAGATTAAATATTTCATTATCCTATTTAAACCCCTTTTTAACTGTAATGCAAGGCATTTAAACTATAGATCTATTCCATGTCAGTAGTTATCAGAAAGTTTGTGTAGACCTGTTTATTATATAGAGTTTTTTTAATTGGTTTGATTTATAGAATAGATGCAAGAATGAGGTTTTAGCTGAAGCCAAAGATAACCCCATCTTCTGCTCAGATTGCAGGCATATACAATTCGCCGTTCAGAACATCCCCAGATCCAATGGAACTGCTGCTACGGAAGTCAAAGCCATTGAGCCACAGACGGCAGCAAATGAAGAGTCCATTCACCTCTGAGCTCTATGACTGGCCAACTTGTAAAAGGCCTCCGACCTTCTCCATGGCACAGCCTCTGCCACCTATTGGGAGACAGAAACCTCAGGTGGTGTTTCTCAGTGTCTCTGAGGCAGCTTCTGCTCTTATCTTTTATTATAGATTATCATAGAATAGCTCGAGTTGGAAGGGACACATAAGGATCACCGAGTCATAAAATCCCTTTTGTGGATTTGGTTTTTTACATATAGATCTAGTGCTTGCATTCAGGATATAAAGTCTTTGAAACAGATTTGTCTTGAAGAAAAAGAAACCTAGGTGGTATGTAAAGACAGGGAAATATGGTTCTTTAGACTTTACTTTTGTCCTGTGGGGTAAAAAGTGTCATTTCCAATATTTCAAAGGGAAGATCTGATATAATTGAGTATCAATTTAATGATTCATTAGAGGTAGAATTCTTAATTTCCAATTTTCAATCAATTAAACAATAGGAGAAGTGAAAGGTAATAGGACAAATTAGTCAGTTATGATAAGGTTTTCCTCTTTTTTGCAATTGTTTTCCATATGAAGGCCAAGACACAACCTCTCAGTACAGAGTCATTCCTGCTTTTTTTGCTCTTTTGTGTCCACTAGCTGTGTGTCAGCTTTGATTACAAACATTTCTACATTTTGTTCTGCATTTCAGCCAGGTTGCCCAGCTCCTATTCTTAACTGTCATGGTCTTAATTTTAATTTCTGTTGATGTCAACATATGTTGCAGATAGCTTTTTTTCTTCTTCCTTAAAGTAGTGAAGGTCTCTGAGATAATGCATCAGAGTGAATGTCCCACAAGATAGCAAAACAGCTTTTGCCACCTTATTAACAAAACCTGCTGGGAATATGCCTAATATACACAGCAGATGATGGGCTTTTGAGACCTTTATGTTCCTCATTTGATGATAATACAATGACATGTAGCTTTTGCCAGTAAATGTCTGATACAGTTGTTTTTGGGATAGAGGTATTCTGTCTTTACCTCTATTCTGAAGAATTTTTCAGTTTGCCCAATCTACTGAACCTTCTACTTACCTCACACATACATGTTCAGTGACAGTTTGACTTTGAATGACCATAATGTCTTCAGAACCTATTACACTTTTTTTTTGGTACTCTGTCCTATATTTAAGTTCTCTCCTCTGCATTTTGCTTAGAGAGACAATGCTTCTAAATGAGTCCTTCTCAGTAACTTTCACTGAAGGTATCATTTTGCTGCAGAAATTACACAACAATAATGAGCAATAAGCGATGTATAATACAACTTTATTGGTATTTTACTCCTCTGAATTGATATGGTTATTTTAACTATATTGTTCCAGCTCTTGGTAGAGGTGATCTGAACACAGTCTTAAGTCTGAGCTACTGCTTGGTTCAAACTACATGTACACATACCATCTGCCACCATTTGCCTGTGGCTTATGGATTGCATTCACATTGTTCTTCAGCAGGGACAGCCATGGGCACACTGGCTGACTCACACAGAAGAGGCTTTTCTCACTTCTATGTCTGACTGATGTGTCTGTAGCATGACAAGTCTGTATTGGTTGTGGGACACGAAGGCAAAGGCAATTGGGTTAGAGCATGAGAAGAAGGTACGGGCCTGCCAGAATACCTCTGGAGAAGTAGAGGTGAGCCACACAGAGGTCCGTGCTGCTTATAACAGTAAGGATCAACGTCAGGGCAGTTCTGCACCACCGTCCTTCCCTCCTTATGTTCTCCCTACCTTGACTGCTTGAGCTTCCTCATCAGAAGAATGCATTGACTCACATTAGAATCGAGACAAAGTGAGAGCCAACAAACAGCTTGGGTGATCAAGGAGTTTGGAGTTGAGACAAATATGACATTATAACTTTTTACCTTCTGAGGCCAGAGGTGCTATGGCAGTCCTTCAGTGGTGTGTGGCTGAATGGTCCCTCTCTCAGGACAGAGGGGAAGATTTTGCCTAGCGGACACGGTACAGGAATCATGCTTTTAAATAAAGAGAGAACACAGAGGTTTTCATTGTTAAGTTGCTCTTGCAAAACTGCTTTACTGTATACAAAGTATCTTACAAGCTCTTGTTTGGATCTGGAATATTTTATAGACCTTTCTGAGTTCAGATGCATGCACAGAAGTCGGGCCCAGATAGCCTTTTAGAACAAACCAGAAGAGTTCTGTTTATTTTCTGCACCTCAGAGAAGGAATTTACTATATAATACTTTAATCCTTTCAGCACCCTGGGATGTACACTGTGGGGTAAATTTTCAAAGCACAGCGCGTGGATTTAGCTGCGCTGCTCTTATTGATGTTAATGGGAGTCACACGGCTAAATCCCTGCACAACACTTTGACAATTTAGGATTGTATGTCTAAGAAAAGGACACTGGTTTGAGCTGATGAAACAGCTGGAAATGAAAACCCAACAGAACGCATCATGCTGAAAGTTGTCTGATGTGACAATAAGGGATTTAATTACTGGATATACTTGTGTCCTAGTTCTCTGCGGTAACAGTTTTTGGCACCAAGCTTGTTTACCTAATATCTATCTGGCCCACTGCAGGTCGCTTTTTACTTCACTGTTCTTTCAAGTATCTAAAATTTGTATTGCCCATAGGGTTGGATATTTTATATCAATTACATATGCTTAAAAGAACAAAAATTAACTACCATCAGCTTTCTCTTAGGGAAATGGGTGTTTAGCATTTTATAGGTAAGCTCTGAGTGCGTAAGATAGTATACTTAGAAGTCTTAAAGATGCTTATACATCAGTTAGATCTATCATTTTTATTACTGAGTTAACTAGAATTACAGTTTGATGAAAACACAGATAATGCTAAAATTAGTCATCTGTTCATTAAAAGGCATTAATAACAGAAAGCATATTGCCATTTTTAGGGGGTTTTTTGCATGCTGTGAGCTGTTCTGAAATGGGGGCATTGAAGAACATAGGATTTCATGTAGATCATAGTTTTTATGAGTTGCTGTTTTTATGATAAAGTCATAAGAATGCCGATTTGCTAACCTTTATTTGTCAGACCAATCAGTAGCGAGAAGTTTTATGCTATTTGGTGCAAATTCCAAACACAGAACATAGAGTTATGTGAGTTGTTTCAGGGTGAAAACTGTTGTCTGACTCCCTCCCTTCCTTTCCTAGCCTGACCTCCCCAGGAAGATTTCTGTTTTGAAGCAGGATGCCTGAAATGTTTACAGGCACTGCCTGTTTGAGAACATTTGTAAGCACCATTCTACCAGATTTCAACAAATCTTAAAGTCAGTCTTGTAAAATGGAAATAGGTAAATGGATTTCTTAGAAGTCTTGTCATCTTATATCTATTCCATAGGTGCCTATTGTTAGGTAAGTTTCTTCAAAAACATGATTCAGAGGAATGGAAAAATCTGCAGGGAATGTTCGGAATTGTCTTAGTTGTCTAATATATATATATACCCCACTTTCATTAGTTATGACACAGCCTTGTTTGAGAGACCTTTGGGTAGTTACACTCTTTGCCCATTTCTTCCATCAGTAGCTGGACTCTATTCATTTCATTTGAATGACGGATTGAGAAAGTGTCAGAAGTTCTCAGAAATTAAAGATGGAAAAAAAACCCCTGCTAATTTGGCCCTTACCTTGGTTGAATATGAGTCAGTATTTTACAATGAAGAAGAAATACAAAATTCTGAAATGTTATTTTCTAAAAGCAGACATATTTATCTTGATATTATCTGATAGTTGGACATATCTTTCTTCTTTCCTCCGTATATCCACTTCACGAAAACATCTTGCAATAAAGAGTATTAATTTTTTATCATAAAGTTTAATTTTTTTTATAACTTGATCATCAAATTATGTATTACTAGAACATTTAGCGACCAGTTCTAGTATTGTTTATTTTCTCACAGGCAATAACATTTTTCATTCTGTTTTTAATGGCTTATTGTGGTCATATTAAATGAACATATTTTTTTTACACAGACTTAGAAAATACAAATAAGAAAATATCTGCAAGACACATAAATATTATGCTCATTTGCTTAAGAGGACCTTTAAAACGATCTCCAAATCATGGTGCTGTACCTTTAAAAAGTAAAGTTCCAATAAAAATCCATTAACTACTTTCAAATATAGCAATCCTCCTGTCCAGCTGTGAAAAGTACTAGATGATACTTATTTGCCATTTGTGTTATTTACGGTCCATGACTTTTATGGTAACTGGTTCCTATTATTGGTTTCTATTAATGTAAAACATAAGTGAACATAAATGAGGCGTGAATCATTTCTTTTTATTAGCCCCACAGTCTTCACTCAGGGCTTGCAGTAACTCCAGCTGTGACTTGTTAGTGATAACCTATTTAAAGAAGGATGTCTTTAAGAATAAAGGCTGTGATTAGGATTCTTTGTCTGTTCATAGTTTCAGAAGGTTTCACTAGTTCATTGCAGGATCAACAATGATGAAAACGAAATAAAAATTCATTAGCAATACTTCTAAATCCAGAGTTGCCACTAAACTGCCCTGAGTGTAATATGGCACTAGTTATACTCCAGGTAAATTCTTCCTGGTTAGTACTAAAAGCAAGACATAGGATACGTCACTTTGACAGTGCAGGAAACGACTTCCTGCTGCTATTGATACATGTTGTTGAATGGTGGATGCTCATATGATCAGTTATTAAGCAACATACTATTGAAAAAAGATATACATGTGTATATATATAGAGACGTGAAAGAATTATTAGCTTTCCTGGTTTTTAAGAATAAGAAAATCAATCTGTAATTAGACTTTTCAAAAATGGACTGTACAGCTATATCGTTGAAGTAATTATTTTGAATTTTTTTAGAAGAATTTTATCTCAAGTCATGTGTTAAGTTTCCTTCCAGGTAGCTTTATAGTTAAATTGAAAAGTGCATCTTCTTTAAGGCAAAACACTATTTATCCCATGAAAAGGAAAAGACTTAAGCTTTCTCCTTTAGCAGCATCTAGATGCAGTTAATACTGGTGTATCAGATTTTATTTCACCAATATTTTTTTCTAAGGAAAAAATGTTTTCTTAATCACTTCTAACAATGTGTTGGTTTGAAACAGTAAATATTTATTAGTAGTTAAATCTGGAGTGCACATTTCTCGTTCTCAGTTTTGTCAACCTTTGTGTTATCTGTAACTCTCTATCAAAACGAACTGCTTTAATTATTTTGTAATGAAAATCTTCCTCCACTTTCCAGACATTCTGTGACATATTTTATCAGTGATGCGTCGTGAATAAGAAAAGGAAAGAAAAGAACTGTAACCCCACAATAAAACACTTACATTTTCCTATACCTTTCAGGGGCCTTTCCGTGATACCGCTGAAGTATTGCAGCAGCGCCACAAGCCTTTGGAACCAACCTTGCGAGTGGCGGCATCAATCAATTCACCACTGGAGAAGGCCAGAGAGGAAATGAAAAGGGAGGAATGGGGAAACCTTATACATGACAATGAGTAAGTTCTTTGTTTTTTCTTATATTGTTATGGGAATGTTTTCTTTATTCCATTGTTTTCAGAAACCTTTCATGTCTGACAAAATGAAATGTCAAACCTGACACCTTACTAGAAAACATTCTAGGTACGTGCTTCTAAATTCTCTGTTCTTAGATTATAAACTGTTCAGGGCAGAAACCCTATCTTGTAATTGTGTGACATCTGCCATCCATACCTATGAATCTACAGAAGAACTTGTAATAATAACAGTACGTGATGCAACAGATGGCTTAATGGGAAATAAGAAAACAAGCACAAATTCTGTTTTGCCACATGCACCTTGCCAAGGAAAAAGAAATACTGTTTAAGTCTTCATATTCAGGGAGCTTACAGGCTATGGGAGGAAAAAATGGTGTTGCATGCCAATGAGACTTGCTTTCTCTCCCAGTAGACCACCAAAGCTCACTTGGAAGGGAAGGGAGCATATGTTGCACACGTTAGAACATGATGCAAAAACGGTAATCATCTTTGAAGCAGTTTGGTTTCCTGAGCCATAGCATCTGTAATAGTGTCAGACAGGCCAGTTCTT